AGTATTTTTACAGTCTTTATTTTACAGTTAAAATAAATGTTTATCAAATAAAGTCTAATGTTACAACTAATCGTGGATACCTATAAATAGCTCATTAGAATTTTTTGTCTTCTTCAACCAGCAGACGATTCAGGAGATTTGGAGTCATAAGTCAGTCTTCATAAGAGAAAGCTGATGTTGTGTTTTGAGTTCGAACCCTTCAGAATGGAATGTCCTGAAAAGGTTTCTTGCTACAATTTTAATTTTTTCGCTGCAGTGACTGACATGTGTCTGAACCCTCATTATAGAGAGACWTTAACTGACAAGAATGACACCTGCAGGAGGTGTGGCTTCACTTTGTCAAGACCATTAACTGCTCTGAGTCACGCTCAGTGGAAACTTCTTTTACTGGCAAGACCCAGACTGAGGACGTACAATTACTGGTCAATCCTCACAACATAAAATATTCAAATGAATCAATCTCTGCTTATTGGCCTTTTCCTAACAGCCTCAGTTAACATGGACAACRTGTGAGGCAGCTGAGAGTTACAAAAAAACCTTCAGCACAGACAGGTACAGACTCTGCTGTGTTCAGACATGCCCCAAAACACTGAAAAATTCCAGTAAGATATTTTTCCGCCCTTTCTGTAACCATCTCTATGAAACTGCAAGCAACAGGAAAACAAAAACACCAAACAGCATTTCTTAAAATGTTTTTTTTCAAATCTTAATTGAAAAGGAAAATCATGGATTTTTTTTCCATTAATACCAATTGTTAATAATTAATACCTTAATAATAATAGACTAGACAAATGAGATAAGTTGACAAACAAAAAAAATATGTTAGAAATGTGGCACATTTTGTTCCATGTACAGGTAATCATATGGGAGCAACAATAATATCATGGTCACATAATTCTCTTCTCGTCACCAGTTTAATCTAATCTCTACATGTGTGTGTGTCCCAGGCAGCTGAGCCGGACACCTCAGTCAGAGTGAGCTCATGTGGACAGATGTGAAGTGTTTCTAACATCAGCTGAGAGCTTCTGAACTGACTGAAGGCTAGACAATCTACACCAACATTAGAATTATAGCTAAAGAGGTGATGACACACTCCAAGATTCAATGCAAATGACATTCATGCAAATAAATCAGAAATGTGTTACACTGTGCTGCAAAARGCTTTGATTCCTTAAAAAACTCTGCCTAACCGAAGTAATCCTGGTGAAAGTATACTTACATAACATCTTTAGCGACGTTCACTTTCAACACTGTTGTTCACCTGGACAGGTAAAGCCCTGCATTGGGTGGAGAGTTAAACCTTTCAGAGAGGGGAGGGAAGAAAGCGAGTTAAATGACTCACAAAACAGGACTTTGTTCCAGTCAGGGAGCCTCCTGATTGGCTGCTCAGCCTTAAAGCAGAGACATTTTACCCTGCTGCCCGTCTTTCAAGAATTTCCCCAACCTGATTTGAGGAGCAGTGTTCATGTGAGTTAAAAAAACGTCAGAAATAAAAAAACAAAACTGCTCACCTCTAACAGGCCAAGGTGATCAGGAAGTGGCAGCCTGAGGGGGCGGAGTTATTAAAGGTAAAGAACAGAACTGCCCAAACCTGCTCTGGGAGTTAAAGAGAAACTGAATTTCCTGACATGAAGTGGAGCAGAGACATAACAGCAAGGCCTGAATGCTAAATATCTTTCAGAGATATCTACAACTCACAACAAAAACATTTTCTAATGAAAGTTTGAAATGTCAAACAGAAGACCAACAGTTTGATCTACAACTCTTTTTTTTTTAGAAAACAATGATGAAGTAATAACTCACAGGACACTTCCAGTCTGCTAAAACAAATGAAGTTCTCTTTTTTTTACTTTAAGCCTAATAATCTATAAATAGGTATTTAATATGCAGGTTTTAGGGTTTTTATAGTGTTACAATCCACTATTTAAACATACAGAGACCGCAATCCCTGTYCTTCCAGGGGGATGTCCTTTTTTCTCTTGTGGTTTGCTTCTCGAACAGTTTCATAAAGCTATGTGTTTGATTGGCCTTGTACAAAAACAGTCGTTATCCATAACTCAGCTTGTGGTTTTCCTTTGTGTTTTTCCCTCCATCACTCTCTTTAAACCCAGAGACTGTGAGCCACAGGTGCTGCAGGCAAACACAGACTCTTCTGAGTCACACTGTGACATGAGCAGAACTCAGTCATTTTAATAAACATGTAGCAAAAATGTTCATTTAGTCCCATAATAATTCATTTCTAATGATCTTTTTTGAATTTCTTGTGACTTAACAGAACATAAAAACACAGACTTAGAAGTATTTATAGTAGCAGCATCCAGGGATGGACAATATTCATTTCACCATCTTCTCTCCATGCTTGGGGTATAAGGGTAGAATTGTTACTTTTTATCAACTTGTAAACCTAACATAAATTTAGACTTAAGCCCTATTCTGACGGGATTAGTTTTACCTAGGGAGCCCATGTAATAAATAAATTACTCCCTGACGTCTGTGTTTTATGTGGCACATTGGCACGGGATCACCAAAGCCTGAGATTTTCCTGATTACATATGGGATTCAGCCCGTTCCTGTCCAAATCACAGAGATGCCTTTCACACTGGATTAGTATTATCACAGGACCTCGGAGTTCAGCGAAATATGGCAGGTAATTTGCGGGGGAATTTTTACTTTACAAATTACTGACATGGCCGATTCTCACGGGATTAACAACACAGACAATCTCTGTAATTATTCCAAATAACYTGCGGTCCCTAGGTAAAACTAATCCCGTCAGAATAGGGCTATAGCATAAGTTAGTATGCTAGTATATACGGTAACTAACTAAAAGACAATTACTTGCATCTCAGAAGGGTCACATGTTATATCTGCTCAGCTCAACACAACGGGCCTCATGCAAGAACCGTT